CCCCCCCAGCCTGCCAAGGCGCCCCCCAACCCCACTCTCTCCCCCCCAACAGAATGAAGGCTCGCACCAGTTTGAGGAGCAGCCGGTCCAGCACCTCTTCCCAGAGCTCCAGGACCTGCCCAGCAAGTACGATGACGGGGGTTCGGGGGTTTGCGGGCCCCCTGCCCCTCCCCCCACCCTCCGACCACGGCTTAGCTCCCCTCCCCCGCCCCGCAGCGTCCTCTGGCTCAACGTCTGCAACATCCCCGGCGCTGGCCAGCGCATCACCGCCTTTGGTTGCCAGAGTGGCTACGTCCGCGTCGCTCGGGTGGACCAGGCCAGTCGAGGTGAGAACCAGCTGCCGAGACTGCGCTGACCGCCGTCTTCCCCTTTCCCGCATGGAATTAACGATCCTGGTGCCGTTAAATCAGCCGTTATGGCACGGTTTATCTGGTTTAGCCCCGCGCAACCCAAGGGGGATTAACGGGCTCAAGGGAGAGGGTGGGCGATTGTCAGAAAAATGGGTTGGGCATGGTTTTGGTCCCTGGATCCAATGCCAGATCCTTCCCGGCTCCCGCTTGCACCCTGGGAGAAGGCGGGATGGCGTCGGTGGGACCAGGAGCCCCATCCCAGCCAACATATCCCTGTGGCAATGCCTCTCTGTCACAGCGGTGCTCCAGAGCTGGAGTATCCAGCAGGACGGTCCCATCTCCAAGGTCCTGGTGTTCCCGCTGCCGTCGGAGCTGGGAGCCGGCGCAGTCCAGGACGGTAAGGGGACGGGGACAGCTGGTTCTATGCGGCACCATGGCACTGATCCCTTGCCTGCCACCACACCATGGGCTCTCCGGAGCTCCGGTTTCCCTCCCCGCCACCGGCAAATCTCTCCGCAGCCCCTCGGAGCCGGTGACGCCCATCCCACCACCTTCTCCTCCCAGGTGACGCCATCGCCGCACAGGGCTACAGCGTCCTTGTCACCAGCACCATCGAGCTCTCCGTGGTGTACAGGTGAGCGCCGGGACCGCGGCACGGGACCCTCGCCTCACTCCTCTTCACCACCCGACACCGCTCCCCAACCAGGGACGTCTTAACCAATGGACTGGGCGACCAGTTGATTTTACCGGCCAGCGACCAGTATGACAGCGTCCTCTGCGCGCTGGTGACCGATGTCGACTTTGATGGCGCCCGCGAGATCCTCCTCGGCACTTATGGGCAGGTGGGTGACGCCACAAGCTGGCGGGGTGGTCGCGCGGCCCAGCACGGCTCAAAGAGCCGTGCCGGGCCGTGTGACCACCCCGCCGGCATAGACCCCCCCCAACCCAACTTCCTCGCATCTTCTCTCCACCACTGCAGGAGCTTCTCTGTTACAAATACACCGGCGCCGCGGGGAATCCGCCCGGTGAATTCCGTCTCCTTTGGACACGGCGTTTCCCCAGCCCGCTGCTTTCCATGATCTACACCGACCTGACCGCCGACGGGCTCTGCGAGTTGGCCGTCGTCTGCCTGAAGGGGCTTCATGTCCTGCAGGTGAGTGTCACCGCGTGGTGGTGGTGGTGGTGGTGATTCCGCGTCCGGTTACCCACCCCCCGCCACGGGCTTCACCCCGCATCGTCCCAACGCCAGCACAGCTTGGAACCGACGGCCCGGTGCATCCTGGAGCGGCTTCGGGCGGAAGTGGAGCGCCGAGCCCGGCGTGGGGTGGTGGTCGAGTGACCCGGCCGCAGAAGACGACACCGAAGATGACGCCAGCGTCCCCCGGCCTCGACGGTGGCAAGACCGCCGCCGACTTGGATGTACCCCAACCTGTCGCACCCCCCCACCTCGCCAATAAACGCGTGCCCGGCATCCTGCCACCAGCCCTGGCTTCTCTGGTGAACGCCGGCGGGGGCCGGGAAAGCTCCTCTGGTGCTGGTGGGGGGACGGGACATGGCCGGTGGCCAAACCACAGGGTGGGGACGGTGGAAGGGGGACCCCAGACCTGTCGCTGAACACCCCGTTTTTTGGGGATCAGACCCTTGGCGCACCTCCGGCACCCACTGCCCGTCGTTGGCGGCGTGCCGGCAGCTTCCAACCTCCGTGCCGGTTGCCTCCCCTCCTCGCTGCGGCGCGATTCGCATCTGGTTCCTGCGCTAATTGTGCCAGAGCTGGGGAAGGGCCGAACGCGGGGAGGTGCCGGTGCGGAGCCGTCACCGGAGAAGCCGGAATCCGGCTTTGGGCGATGCCGAAGAGCCCCCCGCCGCGTCCAGAGAATCGGGGGTGACTCATCCCAGCAGGTGATGGGGGCTGAGGCTGGGGGAGACCCTCAGCCCTGTGGGTGATGGGGGCCCAGGCTTCTTTGGGGGGGGGGGTTGGTGTGGGGCTGGGGACCCCCCCCGGCTTTTTGGGGACCCTCCTGGCTTTTTGGGGACCCGCTGTTCTTTGGGCAGGTGTGGCTGGGGGGGATCCCCAGCTTTGTGGTTGTGTGTGACCAGAGGACCCCCCCCCGACCCTTGCTCCTGGGGGCCCTGCTCCACAATGGGTTTGCGTGACTGGTGGACCCCCAGCTCCTTGGGGACCCCCCCAGTGGGTGTGAGTGACCAAGGGGGACTCCAGCTCATTGGGGGCCCCCCCGCAGTGGGTGTATGAGACCAGGGGGGACCCCCCCAACTGGTGTGGGTGACTGAGGGGACGCCCAGTTCCTTGGGGGGACCCCCCAATGAGTGTGGGTGACCGGGGCCCGCCGCCCCCCCATCTCCCTGCCGCAGGCAATGTCCTACAAGCCCTGGGGACCCGGGAAGGGGAAACTGAGGCACGGCCGGGGTTGGAGGGGGGG